AGGCCTCTTAATATTACTCGATGTGTAATGAAATTATCTGGATTGAAATTATTTGGAGGAGAGTGAGTTATACAAGGGAGCAACTCATTTACATCAAGAACAAGAAGCATTTTTTTCAAACATCTCATGATGTTCTCTGCATTTATAACAAAACAAAAAAATTTCTTATTACATGACTTGATTTTCATTATATTTTAATGCCTCTCATTTCATTGCTTTGTTATGCATCAAATTCTATCTTATGTTTCTTAGCACCACAATAGTTAGCACTAGTTATAGTTACTTTTTTTGGTTAGTTTGTCAAAAAGATGGTTAATCTCATGGTTAACTAACCATAGTTACATTATTGTACTTTGCTAACAAATTATTCATTGATTTCAAAATATTTTGGTTATTGAATCATTTCTCTGAGTTTTCTTACGATGTGAATTTCTTTGCTTTCAACAACTTTTCCATTAGTTTTTGACATTTTCTTACAAATATTATATGTTGCTAAATTATTTAATATGGAGGCGGACAAACCTTACTTGATAGATTAGTTGGCTACCTCTAAGCTGCAGTTAGCAACATACAAATATCCTACATCTGTATAGCTAGAACATGTATGGTGGTGCATTTAAGTCAAGAGGAGGAGCATAGGAGCCATATTCTTATTCTTCATCTTTAGGAAGCTCTTCTTCATGAAAAAGGCCACCAGCAGGTTGACGAACATCATAGTACACTTCTCCATTGGGTTTAATGTCCATCTGAGATAATATTCCTCACCCAAATATTTTATATATTTCTGCATCTTTTTTCTCTTGTTGGTCAAGAGAAACATCAAAGTACTCAAAAATTTTAGTGAGAAACATAGCATAAGGCAGGCCTCTTGTTGATTAAGAGGAACATCAAAGTGTTAAAAAATTTTAGTGAGGAACATAGCATAAGGCAGACTATCACTTTTGCTTTTGGTTGCCTTAAGCATATGATTCCTCACATAATAACCTCAATCAATGGTTATAATATTAAGCATTACCCAAATTAAATAACATCTTTATCTATAAGATATGCATGATTACAAAAAGGAGGAAGTAAACTTGTTACCAAAGCATAATGGAGAAGACAATTTTATGTGTGTGAATAGCTTGTTATGGTCCCTTTCTGAGGACTATCATATACCAACATAGATGTCTTGACCTCGAGCTTGTCGAATTTTGCCAAAATAACCCACTCTTTGCTATGTTGATCACCACTAAATTTAAGACCATCATAAGGTAGAGTTGTCAGCTTTTGCCAGAGAATTAGCTCGATTTTAATCTCAATCTCCACCATTTATGACGTCACAACTCCTTTTCAGAGGCTAAGGTTATTGTAGAATTTTTGAATAAGATATGGATACACAGGTTTCTTAATTTCCAAGAAGGTAGTTAGCTATAGATTCTTGAAAATTGTAATGAAGTCAAATCCATTTTTAACAAAGTATTGGGTATCAAAGACCTTTGGGGTTATCACCTCCTTCCTAGTCACAGTTTGAGTACTTAAAGAAGTGACTTCTAAAAAGGGTTCTTCAGCATAGGGTTGGATGTTGTAGGTGCGCTTGGAGTTTTTTCTTTTAGAGGATTCTTGATTTGAGTTTCTTTTGCGAGTTATAGTTGGTGTTTAGGAGATTTTAGAGAGTAAAGAGTGAACGAAAATAGAGAAAAGAGAACTTACATTTTCAAAAAGGCGAAGCAACGACGCCAATGGTTTGGGCGTGAGATTTTCTTCTTTGTTATCTAGTAATTAACTAATCAAAATTCTTTTAATGATCAGTCAAAGAGATAAACATAAATGATATAATAAATTAGAGCTAATGGTTAATCAATTACCCTCCACCTTGATGTGGGTTTTAGCGTGGAAAAGGTTTAAAGTTCCTAACGTGTGTCCTTAGGAAATTTTTTGCTATTTAATCCTTAATATTTCATTTGTTATTATGTAGTTTTATTTTATAAAATTGAAAATTGTTCCTCTGCACCTATCACACAGGCTTTCATTTAGATTTTTTTTGCACATTGTAACATCCCCTTATCATTTTCCCTATAATTAGTGTGAATTTAATGTTAATAAGTGTTGGGATGTATTTGGTAGGGTTTTGGATGAGTTTGGAGGTGTTTGGGTACAGAGGATCTCGCCCAGGTGAGCATGGGTCACCCAGGCGAGCACGCACAAGTGAAAATGTATGCTCTTGGGTCCTCATCTCGCTCAAGCAAGGTGGAGCTCGCTTAAGCGAGCTTATCAGAGAAGAAAGTTCTAGACCACTGTCTGCATATCTCGCTCAAGCGAGCTTGTGGTTGCTCAAGCAAGCTTGTGATTGCTCAAGTGAGATGACGTCGCTCAAGCGAGACGCGCAAGATCTGAGGGTATTTAAGAAATTTTCAGCATGAAAATTCATTATCATCCGAAAACCACGTCCCTCCATCTCATTTTCTCTTATCTCTCTCCTTTTTAGTGAGATTAAAGTCGTTTCTCTCCATGAATGAGTTTCGACTTGAGTTCTAAACGATCTGAGGTGAGTTTCTACGGTAAAAATCTTAGTTTTACTGTTCATTTTGGTTTTTGGATCCTGATATATATCTCTTAATACTCAGGCTATCTTCGGTTGGAAAGTTTCCTCCTTTTACTATAGTTGTTCGTAAGCTCGTCCTCGAGGTAAGGAGAGCTCTATTTTATCATTTGGATAAAGTAGTATTATAAGCTCATAGAGCATTATTGTGAGAGTATGGAAGAATATTAGCTGAGTATGAAACGTAGTATACCCTTTGACTTTTCTAATAATAGGATACACGAAACCCTTAGTATATACATGTATAGGGGTATAGTTAGATCCCCAGCAATCATCACCTACGTCTATGAATTCCATGACCACGACCTTTTTGGAAATCCCACCCGATGGACCGTTGAGAGGGTTTTTGGGACAGAAGTTGAGGCTGATCCTGGCGATAGTTATCTGGGTCTGGATGATGACCTAGACTTTGATGATCTAGCTGCACTAGAGGGTTTGGATTCTGAAGATGATTAGGGCTGAGATTGCTCTGGGATCTATTTTGTAGGGTTTGATAATGTACATTATTGTAAGAACTGTATATTTTGACAGTATTTGTAATTAAATGTATAATCTTTACTTTCCATTTATGTTTCTGGAAAATTCTAAAGTATGAGTTATTGTATTATTTCACTCAATGAGTATGAAACAATTTAACTAAACGATTATAATCAATTTCAGCAAGATTTTCAATTGTGTTTGAATTTTAGACTAAAAATTAGACCAAATTGAACCATTTTTTTTTATTTGTATGAAATTTTGAGATAAAGACGTTACACACATCGTTGTCACTACCTGTTCGACAAAGCCTATACGCGTCTAAGTCCTCATTCAATTTCTAAATTTGTTGTTTTGCAAGTCATTTTCTCCGAGAGTTATTTTGAAGAGAAGCCCAATGTGGGTAGTTTCAACAAGGATTCTTTCTTATTTCAATCTGTGTAAGAGTGTGAGATCGTAGGGTTCAAGTTGGAGAACATTCAAAAGAAGTTGGCAGTTGTAATTTTCATTACTGTAGCTAACGATGTGCTGCATAAGTTTGCTTCTAGCACAGGAAGTGGGTTGTCTTTTAAATGAACACTTTTGCGTTTTCTCTCTTAGTCTTCTCTTCTTCTCCTCATGACTAATACTCTCTCCCCAACTTCCATATTTAACCATATTTAACTTCTATATTCAACATTCTTTCTTCTATCGTACCTAACTCCTTTCTTCCTCTCTCAACTTCATCTTTCTTTCACCCCATACCTAACTCCTCTCTTTCTCTTTCTACTCTCACCTCACCTCCCCTTATACCTATCTCTCTCTCTCTCTCTTCTTTATACCCAACTCTCCACTTTCCTCTTCCTTTATCACCATTCCTATACCACCTTCTCTCATTATCTCCATTCATCCTCAGTCTTCTCTTTCTTCCATACCCAGCCTCCAGCTTCTCGAATGTTCAAAATTTACTTATGCCAAAAAAATTCATTTAAATTAATTTACAAAATTTATTATTATTATAATTTTTATTACTATATTCTCAAAGTTGAGAGAACATTTTAATGTTTATAATATTTTAAAATTTTAAAAATATTTATATACTTTTTAAATACACTATTATCCTTCGTTATAATTATACATATTTAATATAATATTAACAGTAATTATTATTTAACATATAAAAGTTATAAAATGTCTTCTGAATTTTAAAGTACTATAAAAATTATTTATTATTATTATTATTCTTAACTCTGTATCAGAAAAAAGACCAACTCTTGAAAGAAAATTATTGAAGCAGTGAATCCATTTAGCATATATATGCAATAAAACTATTTAATATACTGTGTGGAACAAAATTACCACTTAAAATATTGGTTTTGTTAATATCAATAAAGCCTTTTTATTTTTGTTATTTAAAATAAAACCTAAGAATTATTGTTATCATTTTTATTAATTAATCATCGGTAAATTATAGAAAAACCATTGAAACTAATATGAGCGGTTTATTAAAAGGGAATTTTTAACTAAGCACTTTGAAAAATGTATAAACCACACAATCTCATAGTAATGAATATGGGGATCTATATCCAGTTAAATGAAAAATGAAGCAGAAACACCTTAAAATGATTGCTTAAACCTTTCAATTGATTAAAGGGTCACAAAACCATAGCATGCAAAAGGTGCACAACTACACAAAATAAAGAGTTAGTAATTTGAAATCACATCCCTTTCTAAGGTGGTAAGGATGATCCATGCATTTCTGCACACAAAAATCTAAACATCCTCCACCTCATTTTCTGTACATTTTTATTCAGCACTAAGACCCAATAGGCTCACCTGGGACAAGAGAAGTGAGAAAACAGTTACAAAAAGAATAATTTCCAATGTTGTTTGACCCTTTTTGTTGATTCATTTACAATTGGAAAAGGCTTGAGTAACTCTGAACAACATTGATCTACACTACAACATACATTAGCTGTGACTATAATTGATATAAAATTCACAAACTGTAAGGGGGTGAAGATGTTGGGAGGGAATGAACATATATTCCAGAAATGTGTATCCCGTCCTATATCACAAAATACCCTCCCAACTAGTGTGTGTCGGTGGTGGCCACTCTGGGCATGGATATCAATGTGTTGGTTAGTGCTGTCACTGCATTTTGAATACTTAGTCCTCTACAAAAACTTTGAAGATGAAATCACGAAACCGTCTCGAGTATAGCCTTGGATCAACCGCAGAGATTGAAGTCGGATCATATTGGAATGATTTATAAGCATGCTCAAGCTTTTTACTAATGTCGTAGTCTTGTAATATGTCTATTATCCCAAAGAATATGATAATCTCATATAACTCCCCTGTTGGTTCTCCAACGAGCTGAGGAGTGTCACAACTTCTTCGCATCGTCAATTCAGCCCGTGCTGGCATGCTTATGCCCAATTGAATCCACCTGAAACATGAAAAAAAAAATAATAATTATTTTCAGAACATGTCACCTTTCTTGACTGATGGGAATCAAGGTGGCAGTAAAAGCTTGAGTATTGGCGCAAGATAAGCATTAATGCAGATTGGAGGGGTCAAATAAAGGGGTGAAGTAAAAGTGAAGTATCAACAATGAATTTAGAAGCAATGCATGATATAACGGAAGCAAAACTGTCATGTCTAAGTTAAATAGGATTGCTACATGTATGTTGCATCAACAAATAGTAATTGCAAAACAATGCTTTTCCTAGTTGGATTCCTATTGGTTTAGTCTCACAATTTAGCTAGCTATCTAAACCAGATTTATTAAGAATTTGAAACTTCTGCCATGAAGTGTTGATAGACTACCGGCTAGGATCTACTACAAGACGATCCACATCCACTCCAGAAAGACGAGGGGCTCCATCATCAAAGCTACCATTTCCTGCAATGTATGTTCATGTATTCAGAAAAAATCCACATTGAAATAAAATTTAAGAAAATCCATCTATGATGAGATATAACCAGTTGGGGTTTGAGCGCCGGAACTGCGACCAGAAGGAGTAACAGTGTCACTACATGACATTCCTCGAAAGTGAAGACCTACCAACATACTGTAATCCATAATCCTCTCCTGTTCAAGAAAGTCACAGTCCCTATCCACTTGCCTGCATAAAGGAGTGTTAAAAAAATATAGTCATGATCTATTGACAGAGCAGCCAATAAAATGTGCTTAATGAAATAGAAGCTTGTATAGTGATTAAGTACCTGCAGAATTCTTGAAACCAAGACTTTCGCAAATGAAATATATAATTTAGATCAAGGTCTTTCAGTGTTGTTGTAGGCTCTATTTCTGCCTCAGGTTTGTCTGTTGAGCGACCAAAGGTCGAACCTTTCAAATCAAAGCGCCTATGGATGGCATATTGTGAGCAGAATAGATTTCCCATGATGACAAATCGAACCTGAAATTTATCAAGGGTAATCAATTATAATCTTTTGTCAAAATAAAAGTTTATATAAACCTCAGCAGCATTACCTTCTTTTGTGCAGTTCCTGTTAGCTTAACACAATGGAGGCCAAAGAACTTTGTGACTAGTGTGTTCTCAAAAGCCCGAACATGTTTGTAGTAACCAGGCAGCATTCTCAGAAAAACCTGCAATCATTTTTAAATAGTCTTGAATGAACTATCTTTTAGTAGATAATAAAAAGTAACATTTATAACAAGAAACAACTGAAAACTATCACATCAAAGAGACCTGTTGAATGGCAAAGAAGTAAGTCTGAAAAGGCTTTTAAATTAGTTCAAAAGCATATAATGTTCAAAGTTTATGATACATTTTCTTTAGTAATGCTCAGTATTGTTCCACAACTGTTCTGAAAACTCAGGATTACTGGTGAAACTTTCTTATTCTTGAAAAGCAAGGTGAGGACAGTGTATGGTTAGAATTATAACACCTTGAGGCTTATATTCAATCTATCCAACTAAAAGGGAACTCACCTTTACTTCTGATTTCTTCATGGTCTTTATCATGTAACGGTCATCATTGGTCAAATAGAAAAAGCTTCCACTTTTTCCAGGGGACGAGAGCTCCCGAAGTGCATCGTTCCCACATAATGATATCATGTAATCAGCAGGATCTACTTTGAACAACTTTCTGAGAGCCCTGCAAATAGATAAGAAATAAACAATCAGGATCTAGGAATTAGGATACATAAATAGTTATAGTTCCAATAGTTAGGGACTCTTTGTGATGTAAATTTACAAGAGCAGAATTAGAAGATTCAGATACAAAATGTGGTTCAGCTAATTAACAAACATAATTTAGTCTTGAGATTTTGATCAAAAGCTTACCTGAACACTACCGGGCAGTAGTCTTTCCATCGAAACTCGCAAGATGGGTGAGGTGGCGTGTGCTTGGATCCTTCTGGTGGAAATTTAGTCCATACTTTTTCTTTAGGATCGAATGCAGAAGACTTCAAATCAAGAGAGGTACTTGGAGCAGGTCTTCCAACAGCATGTCTGTGCTATGGCACAAGAAATTAATAACCGCACAGTTAAAATTAGAATCATGAAAGGGAATTTTCTTTTGCAAGTCCACATTCATCATTGCACCATACCCATACGGTGACACACAGTTATAAAGTAACTTAAATCCTCATCCTAGAAGACACAGTCTACCACTCAAAAAGAAGGAAAAAAAGCAAATGCAAAAAGGCTGCAGTGAACCAGAAAAATGAGAATAAATCAGAATTCACAGGAAAATAACTATGACCAGTTCAGTACCTGATACCAAGCTGCAGATTAAGCATGAGCTCATAATTCTTATGCCCTTTGGATATAGTCTCTCCTTGTTTCTTTGGAGCCTTCAACCTCAAATTTGGCACTCTTGGAACAGAACTATCAACCTGAGGGCTCCTTGAGCCATCATAACTGTAAGAGCCATCTTCAGAACTGTAATTACTAATCCTTCCATCCACTGACGTCCACCTTTGCCTCCCATTTGCATCAGTTCCCTTCTTACTCATCTTATCTTCCTCAAACCCAGGCACAGTCAAAGTCTTCTGTGAAGGAAAAATTGTGATTTTCTCATAAGAACAAACACTGCAATCAATCAAGTCCACAGAAAACAGCTCCTGAGGATCCCACTCCAAATTGCCATCAGAGGAAGAAGAAGGGTAATAAGTCCCACTTTGCTCCTTTGGATCTTTGCTCCAAACTCCAACATAGAGACTCCCATCACCAAACCTGAATGTTCCATTCCCCTTTGGCAACCCATCTTCCCAAGAACCATCATACCTGTTCCCACTGTTCCACACCATGGTACCATTCCCACAGAACAAACCATTCCTCCACTGGCCGACGTAATGGCTCCCATTCTTCCATTGGTACCTCCCATGTCCACTCTGCACCCCTTTCCTCCATTCTCCATCATACAAGTCCCCATTGGGATAACTCTGAGTCCCTTGACCCTGCCTCAACTCCATCACCCAACAACCTTTGTAGGTGTCCCCAGAAGAACCTATGTAAGAGCCCTTGCCATCCATGTAACCACTCTTGAAGTCACCCTCATAGGAGGCACCATTTGGCCAAGTAAACTTCCCTTTTCCCATGATGCCACCCTTTTGCCATTCTCCAACATACATGCACCCATCTGTCCATAGATACTTTCCATTGCCATAGGGACAATTGTCAAGCCATTGCCCTGTGTAGAAGTCACCATTGGGGAGAATCTTCTCAACATGGGATACCTCATCACCATGCCTTCCATCATCATCATCATCAACATGGGCAACAGACATTGATGTGAAGATGCTCTTTGCCCTCTTCCTTGGACCTGCTGATTTTCTAACTGCTGCTTCCCAAACCTTTCCCAAGCCTGTAAGCTCTTTGTTCATTCTTCTCCAAAAGCCTTCAACTTTGCCTCTTCCCACCCGCTCTCTCTCCCTCTTTCTCACACCCCACAATACCCTTTCGCCTATTATTCACCTTCTTCATCCATCAAACAAAATGAAAATACCTGTTGTCAATGCACAATGTTCATCACAGGAATCATTTTTGAAAGGTAAAGATGAAGAAGAGGAAAAACAAAGGGAATGGAAAATCAAAAACCAAAACCCATTAACAAGTTTGTTTCTTTTCCCCAGATTTTGGTTCTGTATAATGAATGGGTTGTATTCAGATTTTGAAAGAAACTGGTGCTGTAGGATTGACAGGGAAAGCAAAAAGGTTGGTTGGAACCTGTAACTGGCTTTTCTTTTCTTTTTTATTTTTTTATTTTATTTTTTTGCAATTTTTTATTCTAATATTCACTTTATTTTCTTTATTTTATTCTCTTTTCCTGCTTTTTGTTTGTTTTCTTTCTTTAGATGGTTTGGACCAAAGAGATTCAGCTCATCATTCTATTGATTCCGAATTTGGCTCCTAAAAGTAATAGCAGACTAGACAATTGGAAGAATGAGAGAAATGGTGGTGAGAGGATGTATTCATGTCAATGCCATTTTTAGCAACCTCCTCCTAATTTTGGTTTTCTCCTTCTTCTTCTATTTTCTTATACATAAAAATTCATTAAAGATACAATTGAAACCCTATTTAAAAGAGTTTATATAAAGTTAATAAAAATAAAAATAACAAATTTTATAAGTTCTTTTTAAACTTCTTTTAATAAACTATTTTGCATAATTTTGCTAAAATATTTTATTTTTAGTTTATTTTAAATGGTTTTACAATTAAATATAAGGTATATTTTTCATGTAATAAAATTTTATTAGATAATTACTTAATTAGGCTGTGTTTCAAATGCTGAGTATTGAATTTGAGGATTATAAATTGTAGTTTACTATTTTGTGCAGGATTAATCGTTTTCATTAAACTTGTTTCCTATTTATTTGCTGTGAAAGTGTCTTTTGTATAAGAATACGTTTACTTTGAAAAAAACAATATGGGACATTGTTGTGTAAAAAATAGGAGATGAAAAAACAATGAAAGGTTTCTTTTTGTTTGTTTGACATCACAAACAGAATGAATTTTATATAACAAAATGTGAATGGTCATTGGCATTTTTGAAGTGTTACATTACATTGTAGTGCCAATGTTTTCATGCCTCATGGAGCCAAAACATTTATTAAAGACATGCAAGATATAACTCAGCTACGCGCACTTGCTGCTTGCTTAGACTTTTCAAAAGTGAATGAGATATGTCAAAGAGTGTGAAATAAAATTTGTACCAACCTATCATCAATCATAAAAATAAATAAGGTAATGAACTCATTACACAAATTAATGAGGTAATCAACTTATTATACAAATTAATTCTAATGTTTTTCTTTTAAGTTAAAAAATAATAACAATGCACAAAACTCAAAAACATTAGGGGGGGTATTCTACTTTTCTGGTTTATGGGATATATGTTTGAAGTTTAATAGATGTACAAGGAACAGATATTCATTGGTGGCCAATAATAGGTTTTGTTTTCACTGCAAATGAGATTATTTAACCAGAAAGATTGAAACTTTTTTTTAAACAAACAAACATGTTTATTCATAATAATATGCAGATTTAATTATAAGTTCTCTTAAGACTTATGATAATTTTTTTGGTATACTCTAGAGGAAAGGAACGAGCTAGTCCCTTAACGTGTAGTGCACCCTAATTTTGTTATAAGGTAACTTCTCTTTCTGAGCTGTGTTCATTTAATACAAATATTATTTTTTTATGCATCAACCAAAAATTAAAAGTGCCCAAAAATCAAATCAAAAACACTGAAAATTGAATAATTATCAATTAAAATTATCAAGAATTTAATTAAATTGTGAATAGATTATTTTATATTAGTTTTAGTATTCTATTATTAAAACATATATTTAATTTTTAAGAAAAATATGAGATTATTTTAATTTATGATTTATACTTTAGATTAAGTTGTAATTTATAATAGAATTCAATGCTTCAAAATAATTTTTATAGTTATTATATATTTCATTTTTTATTTAATAAACATTATCTCTTAAACAAAAATAGTTATTAAAAATATTTACTTACTAATTTAAAACTCTATTCATACTCTAATTAACAATATTTTATTTATATACTATTAAAAAATTAAATTTGTGTTTCTTAACAAAATAATTCAATTCAAACCATAAAATATTAGTTCATATTAGTTTAATTTTAATATAACTTTTAAATCAATCTAAATTGAATCGAATGTTTTATTTGTATTTGGTTCAAAATATTCAATCCTACAATAAAGTCTTACACCACTGAATTAACCATTGGAGTTAAAAGTGATAAATTTATTGATTCTATTATAGAAAAATATATCAAAAATAAAAAAAAATTTCAACTAAGAGTTAAAATGTTAAAAAATTATTCAAAATAATATTAAAAAAACCTTAAAATAAACAAAGGTATTTTATTCAAACAAATATTTTAAATAGTAAAATAAACTTTTAACTAATTAAAAATATAATCAATCCAATAACTATAAACATGTAATTTTTGCATATATAAAAGGAGTGTTAGTAACACGTTTTTTTATTATTAACTAAATTTATTAAAAATATCAAAATATTAAATTAAGAATAAAAAAGTATAAAATTTATATAATTTTTATAATTTTTAATAAATTTTAATTAACAAGTAAAGATGTGTTAAAAATAAATATTACTGGCATTTTTTTCGTAAAGTATTATATACTAACACCATGAATCTAACATAAGCGTTAATACATAATAATCTCTTGCTTATCCATTTATTTTTATAACGATCAAAATTATAACATAAATTTATTTATACTGTGTTATAATTGTATGTAATAAAAATATTTAAAAAAAACTATCAAATTTCAAGTTAATGTTAAACACTTAAACAACTATATATCTTTTACACATAAAAAATAGTTTAATAGATAGGTTTATTCAATACATTTAATTGAACAACTTAGAAAGTTTTAGTTAATTTTTCAACTTTTCACTAACATTGAATACACTTGTAATCTAATAACTTACAAGAACCTGCAATTCTGATATATTGATGAGCAAATGCTTCAATTCTTAGGAAAAGTAACCTACATTTACAAAATATTAAACTCTATGCTAACCAATAAAGAACACATGTTGACATATATACTTATTAGCATCCTATAACATTTGATTTAGGTGGGGTTGTGAATAAATTTGCAGATGACACCTTTAATTTTCAATCAATATGAAATTAGTGATATAATATATATAAATTTGCAAGTATGATTAATTATTATTGAGATAACGGGGAATATGTATATGGTCGACTAATTATTATTGTTTTTCTTCATTATACCCACTAATCATTAATTATTTTTATATTATTTTACAAAACTTTTCATAGCAAATTAATAAGTGTCAATTTTTCTGTTGCGTTGGGAAACATGTGAGCCACTCGGTGTTGCCATGCTATATAACACCTCATTAGAATACATATCGATTCAATTATAATAATAATAATAATATATATAATTTACAAATCAACGCTTATATTATTATAATACACAATGTAAGTGTGATTTTATTTTATTTTTTAGTTTTAATTGTTTTTATTTTATTTTTTAAATGTTTAAATTAATTTCTTATTCTAAAATTTTATCTAATAATTCATAAAATATAATGAAAGAATGAAAAATTAGTATTTTATTAAAAAAATTAATTTTAGTGTGGAGGACTTGATTTGAGCATTTTAAAAACTAGAAGAATTAAATGTGAGAAATTAAAATTAAGAAGACCAAAATTATGCATATATTAAAATGTAGAGACAAAATTACAATTAAATATTGAACATAAAATATCTGTTATATATACTTTTTATAATAATGAGTTATATTGTTATTATTTAAAACTTATATTAATATTATTTTAAAAAACAGATTAAAATTTTATTTTTTATCCAACTTTTTAACTATTAATACGATAAATATTTTATATTATAGAATACATCTTATAATAATTGTATGCCGATCAAGACACTCTGACAATTTTAAATATATTATATGATTATTTTTAGTTTAGTAAAAATTAAAAAAATTATCACTAATAATTATTTTTTAATTATATTAAATAAGACTATATAAAAGAGATATGATTTTTAAAATACAAAATAAATTAAATGTTAAAAGCATAATGAAAAATAAAAATGACTTCTAAAATCAGTGTCATGTAAGATAACTCTTTTTTTTATTAAGATAACTCTTTAAAATGCTTTAATTTATAGATTTATATATTCTTTAAAAACTCTTTTTTTTACTACTATGTATTTTTTTTAAAGAATACATAGTAGTAATATTTTTTAACTCTAATAAAAAAGATTAATATTTATTAATTTTACGAGTCTTATTTAAGTTATTTTATTGAGTCTAATAATTTTTTTAAAATTTAAATTAAGTTTATTATTTAAATTAATAAAGTCAAATTTTAAAAAAAAAATAGGATGTGAGCATCTGTGATATAGTTAGACCTATTTTTATCCTTTATAATTAATAAATGAATTTAGAGAAAGAAAAAAAAGTAAATTTTTATTTAAAAGTTGTCAAACATTATACATTTATGTATCAAGGTAAAAACTGATTGGTATGTAAAAAAATAAAATAAAATAGAGGAAGAGAGATGGGTCTACGTGGTGATAGAGTATAAGAAAAATAGAAGTGTCCCTTTCATATATCATTAATAACTGATGAATGGGTTGATTGAAGCGTGCGGAAGGAGTGTGAACTGTGATGGTCCCAAACCATACGTGCAACGCAGCCAACTCCAACTCCAACTCCCCATTGTCAAACCCAATTATTAAGGGACCCTCTAAAACCTCATACAAAGGTCACACTTGTAAATAGAGAAGCTACACAATTATAAACAGTGGATAAACAATGTTAAGCATGGTTAAACATTTGATTGAATAATTCTTCATGAATTCTCAATCATCATCACCTTAAATAGTCAACCACATCATCAAATCCATGCCATGCATGGCTGGCATTTCAAGTTCATTTAATTCCCACAATTTTCCATTC